GTATGGTATACTATAGGTTGGATGAGAAGTAAAGAAAGTACACATAGAAGTATGCGAACGACAAATTTTTATTCACATATTACTACATCGGGGTTTTTTTCATGCTGGTTGGAAGATGGTTGGAAGATGACGTAGCGCGGCTTCTCGAGCTGAGTAGCCGTCTTGATGGCCACGAATGCTTGGTTGTGCTCTGCAAGAGCGGAAACTCGTACAGATCCTACGAGCGAAAAGCCATGCTCAGATATCGTCCGCTCTCCAATGACAAATTCTTTGAGAAAGGATGGCACAGAAATACCTCCAAAACGTATCATCGTGGACAAAGATACAATCGACGTAAATGAAATATCAGACTTCATAACAGAGAATAGTAAACAGATTTTCATTACCAACGGAATAAGTTTAAATTTTCTACATAAAGATCCAAGTCTATGGGAAGAAAATGAGGAATTTATTAAGTCACGGTATCGAATAGGACAACTGAAGGTAGTTAATGATGTAGCAGAAAGGGGTGTTTCATTAATTCAAAATTTTAATTCCGTGCTTACGAAACAAGAAGAACAAAAACAGTATCTACTGCAGGTGGTAGAATATCACAGAAGAGAGAAATATTCTTTTAAGAAATCAGTAAACTTGAATTAATTTAATTATTTTATAAAATTCCTTTGTTTATGTTAAAAATGTTTATAAAATATTATATAATAAATGAATATACTATTAGTTTATTAATACATTAATATATTAATATATGAATTTAAACAAATCAAGAATAAAGACATGCTTTGAACATATATTGAATGTGTTTAAGTATCCTCTCAACCTATATAACCTCATTACTAATACTTTAAACGCTTTTATCTCCGATTGTATAGCATAAATTTTTTCCACAATTTTTTAGGATATTCAGGAAACATCAGGGAGTAATTCCGATATGATTAAATTGTCAAAAAAAATTTATCAATCAAGGCATCGGTCAAAAACTAACTAAAAAAAATTAAAAAGTTTGTTTAAAAAATCATATCTGCTTTTTAAGAAAAGAATAAATAATTTTATTATAGTGAAATGGAAAGGTCAAGAGGTGTACTTTATGAAAAAAAAATATACAGCGAGTATCTCATGTAAAAAAATAGCTATTTTTTCAAATTAATAGCGAAAAACTGGAAATCTTTCAATTCCGTCACAAATGTGACTTGTGCGACTTCTAAATATTTTTTTTTAAATCTGAAAAAAATTCAGTGACTGTTTTTAACCATAAAGAAACAGTGGTTTCAAGAAGGCGACGAAAAAAAAATATTTTTGAAATTTTGAACCGCCCTAATATATAGTAAAAAAAAATTACAATACTAGTAAATATACTACGTTAAAAAAAAACGTACGATACATAAGGTGAAAAGAAATTAAAATAATAATAATAATACATAAAATTCTGATACTACGTATGTATATATATATATATTGTGACGTGACATTTTGTCCGTCACTGTGCGGACTTGTCGACGGCGGAC